CCTTCTCTCCTCCAGGTGAGCCCCCCCAGCTGTCCCAGCCTGGCTCCAGAGCAGAGGGGCTCCAGCCCTGGCAGCATCTCCGGGGCCTCCTCTGGACTGTCTCCAGCAGCTCCACGTCCTTGTGCTGCTGTTCCCCAGGGCTGGGGGCAGCTCTGCAGGGGGGGCTCAGCTGAGGGGGCAGAGGGGCAGGATCCCCCCAGCCCTGCTGCCCACGATCCCTGCGGGACCAGCCCAGGGCACGGGGGGTTCTGGGTGTGCCCTGTGCCCACCCCCACAGGTGCCTCACTCCAGGTGGGAACAGCACGTGGGACTCAGGAGGAACAGGATCTGAAATCCTTGGCTCTTGCCTCAGCTTGAAGGAGGCCCTGTCTGTCTCTCAGCATCTGCCCAGCCTTGCTTGGGATCGTCTTCCCCGGTGCTTTGAACTGCACTGGCTGGATGTGCTGGAGCATTCCTGGCTCATCCATCACCCAGTTTGTCAGGGTGGAGCAGCTCTGGCTGTGTCTTTGTACCCTCCTTTCCTCTCCTGTCAGCCTGGGGAAGGGACAGGTGGCAGCAGTTAATGATAGGGTGAGGTGAGGAGGGAGAAATGGGCTCTTCCCCCTCGGAAAACGCTGCATAATCCTGTTCTGTCAGGTCCCACGTGTGTGATTACAGCGTTCTCCCCGGGATTTATTGCAGTTCCTCTTGCCCCAGGTCAGTCCCTGATGGAAGGGCTCCTCAGTGGCTGAAATCAGGGGCCTCGTTTCCCTGGCTGGAGGCACTGGCACACCTTGGCAGCTCGAGATGGATCCAGCGGGGTCGCTCTGGGTGCTCCTGGAAGCTGCATTTCCATGTGCTGGGGCCCCTCAAACTGCCCTCTTCTCACTTGGCTCCTTGGAAACGTCAGAAGTTGCATTTTTCCCTGCCTAGGGACACAGAATTCCTCCTGAGGACAGGAAGGGTTGGGCTCAACCCATCCTTGAGTGTCCTCAGTCCTGAAAAGGACCAAAAGGGCATCAGTAAAACACGGGAGCTGGACAGAAAACTCCTTTTGTCATTTCCTGCTGTTAAGAACATGAATATAACCTCCCTTCCACCACTGGTTTTTTGGGAATAGGCCTGAACTGAAAGAACAGGATTTTAATGTCTGAATTTACCTCTTTTTTGTGAACTAAAAACAAACAAAAAAACCCCACAAACAAACCCAAGGAGCCCTCCTCAGTGTTCCTGTTCAGTCTCCTGGA